CCGCTGTGACTCCTCCCGGCCCAGCCCCAGTCTGTATGACTTGTATCCTGTAATGATTATCCTGTGGCTACTTTCCCATTCCTCTAATTCCCACTTTCCCATGTAACCTTTGTCCTTCTACCCAATATAAGCAGCTGGCTTAATGGTGGAGTGCAGGGCAGATTTTTGTTGATAACCTGCTGCTTCCCCGTAATGCCAGCATTATTGGAGTAAACACTGTTATATGATTCAACCCGGTCTCTGCTTAATTGGCTGAAGTAGAAACTGGCAGCCTGGACCCCTTGATTGTCCGGTTATAGGATTAGGATGGTTCTCAGTACTAACCCTTCCCCACAAAAGGACAATCATCACCCAAAGTGGTAAGAATGGGTGGATAAATGCCCCAGCCTCTCTGAATTTTGCAGGTGGGAGGAAGAGGGGAAACAGTGTGTTCTACATGGTTCCTTAATGTTCCCCAGAAGAACGGACCCCTAGTTTCCCAGAAAGGTAACTTGTTTTTCTTCTTTCTCTGTTTCACTCTGTTTCCTCCCTTACCCATTTTCTGGGTCTAACCCAACCCTCCCCAACTCCCGCCTTGCCAAATAAACCAGTTCCACTGAATTCTAATCCCACTCTTGTCATTATCTCTGGGTGTTTCCCTCTGTCTCCCCTCATCTTCACTTCTGTAGCATCCCTAGAACTGTCCTTTTTCTGAGTGTCTACAAACCCGTATCCACTGTGCTGGGCCAGAGCATGATGAACTTTGCTAGTGATTTGGAAAGATGGGCCCTTGAACTGAGTTTATTTAGCTCAATACACATAAGTGGAAAGAGTCTAAAGTCTGTTTTGGAACCTTCAGCAAAGCTAGGGCCGACAAAATGAGTGACCCAGTCCTCAAGAAGGTCGTTTTATTCCTCCCCTCAGATGAGGGTTCCCACAGGTGCTTTATGACCATCCAGGTTCCACCAGGCTAGGGCCATGGCCATTGGCCAAGGCTGTGTTCCATTCAGACCAGCACTTTCAAAAGATCAGGTCCTCCTTGTTACCATAACCAAGTCTCTAGGTCAGGCTTGTAGACTACTTCCCACATGCCTCTTCCTGCAACACCATCACCATGAGACACATGGGACACCCCAAATTACTCTCCCCTATCCTTTCACAGCATCAGGATAAGCAGACACCATTTCTGCTGAGTTATGTGTTGGTACAATTCCAGTAGGTCTGCTGGGGCCGTGGATGTGAGTGGAGAGGGGAACTCAATGGATAGACTTCTCTGGGTCAACCTAGCAAGATCCTGCCTCTGCCCCACTTCCTATCTCCTTCTCCTTCCATGGGATATCTGGTTAATGTACCTTTTGTTTTTTGTTAATCCTCACCTGGAGATATTTTTTCCAGTGCTTTTCAGAGAGAGAGAGAGTAGAAGGGAAGGAGGGAGTGGGAGATGAGAGAGAAAGAGAGAGAGAGAGAGAGAGAGAGAGAGAGAGAGCGAGAGAGAGAGAGAGAGATTTGAGAGACACATTGACTGGTTGCCTCCTTTGTGTGTTGCCATCAAGGGCTGGGAGCAAACCTGCAACCGAGGTACATGCCCTTGGCCAGGAATTGAATCTAGGACCCTTAGATGTATAGGCCAACACTCTAACCACTGAGCACACTGGCCAGGACTAGCTCCAAGTCCAGAGAGTCTTGAAGTCAGCTTTTCCCTTTGCAGCCAGCGCAAGGAGTCTTAGGGAGGAGCACTCCCTCCTCTGGCCTGAAAGATCAGTCCTGTTACTGGGAAGGGTTCAGGTAAGGAAGCTCCACTTGTGGAAAGGACATCAGAGGAAGTGGTGCTGAGACAGGGGACAGGTTTGAGCGCCAGGGACTCTAGGATGGAAGGCCACATTCAATGCTCTAAATGAGAACTGGACACATACATGTATACCCATCCTCACAGCTGAGTTGGCCCATCTCAGGCCCCCACTATGTCTCTTTGACTTTCTCCATGTCTTTGTCATTGCTCCTTGAATATGTCTGTCTTTCTGTCTCTCCCTCTCTGTCTTTCTCATTTTACTTCTCTCTGTCCTCCTAATCGAAGTCTGCCCATATTTTCTGTCTCTGTCTCTATCTCTGTATCTCTGTCTGTATCCCAGGATTCTTGCTCCTAAGCAACGCCCCTGCGACTCCTTGGGAGGCGGGGCGGGGATGCGCCTTTGGAAAAGGGAGGGCAGCCTACGCCTTTAAGCTCGGGCGCGCGCCGAGCCTGCGCCTTTAAGCGCGGGCGCGCGCGCGGCCCTGGGTTCCTGGCGTGGAGGCCGCGGGAGCACCCGGCCGGCCTGCCTGCCCAGCCCCCGCCCCGGCCCCCGCCCCGGCCCCGGCGGGGGAGGGGTCTCTGAGCACGGCCCCTCCCCCCTGCGCCCCTCCGGTGCCGCGGTGCCCTCACCCCTCGTGCCCCCGGCTGTTCGCCCCACCCCGGCCCCCGGGGCTTCCTGGCCGGCCCCTCCCCCACCGCCGCCGACCCCTTCCCTCCTGGCCAGCCTCTGCTACACACTGGGAAGCAAGCTGGTAGCCTGCACCGCAGACCCAGAGCCTGCAGCCCAACATCGGGGGGCCTGCACTCCAAGATTGGATCCAGGGATCTGGAAACAGGGATCCCAAGACTGGAGTCTGAATACCAATATCTGGGGCTGGAATCTCAATATCAGTCGCTGAGAACCCAATATTTGGAACCCGAGCTCCAAGACTTGGATTATGGATCCCAACATTTGGAGCCTGAACCTCAAGATTTGGAATCTAAAACCCCCAATCTGGAGCTAAACTGACTTCTGTGCCTGAGATTTTGAAATCTGGGATGGGATTCCTGTGTCTATTCCCCCAGAATCCACTACTTGGGACCCGAACCCTGAGATTTAGGCCTCAAATTCCAAGATCTGTACCCTGGCATTCCAAGGGGCCTAAACCTGAGTTCTGGCCTGAAGTCCTTGCTGCAAACCTGAATGCTGAAATCTGGGACTAGAGACCTCCAAAACTTGACTTAGCACCCCAATAACTGAACCCAGCACCCCAGTACCAGACCCCAGGACTGGACTTAGAGCTTAGATCCTAAACTCTCCATTTGGCTGTTTTGCATCCTAAGTCTAGAGCTGGGTGACCCTGACTCTGAACAACCTAAAGGGGTGCCTGGGTCTCTAAAATTGGACCCTAGCTGCCCAATATTTGTCTAGAGACTCCAGGACCACATATATAAGCTGAAAGGACAGTCCCTCTACAGAGGCCTTGGGGACAGGAAGGAGCGACTGAGCATCCCCTCCAGAGCCCTGACCTTTGACCCCCTGGGAGCCTGAAGACTCTGCTCCCTGGGACATCTCCAACTCAGGTAAGGCAATTGGGAGGGAGTTTCTCAGTGACTCCCATCATGGGAAGGGACTAGAGAGGAACTTTATGGTTGGGGGTGGGTATGGGTGAGGACCAGGTAACCCTGGGAATCCTCAGGGTTTCTCCCAGAAATAGACCCCCATCCATGGATCTACCTCCAGTTCCTCTGCCTCAGACCCTCTCTGGACATTTGGCCAGTCCTTCCCCTCTCTGATCTCTTCCCCACGTGATGGCATCTCTAGGTCTGAGACCCACTCCCAGTAGATCTTCTAACTTCTTCCCACCATGTATCTGACCATCTCCAACCACCTCTCCTGCCTGCCTCTCCCATCCTCCGCCCCTGTCTCTTTTCTCTCTGACCATCTTTGACACTTCTGTCCACTGCTCCTCTCTCTGGCCACTTCTGGCCACCACTCATCTCAGTAACCATCTCTGTCCACCTCTTCTGTCTTTGATCGTCCACAGCCCTGTCCACAGCTTCTCTCTCTGGCCACCTCTATCTATTGCTTCACTCAGTGACCACCTTTGATATCTTTGTTGCTCTCTAGTCCTCTTTCATTGGCTCTTCTGCCCTTCTCCGGTCCTGACTCTCAGCTGTGACCTTTGACTGTCTGACCACTTTTGACATCTCTGTCTACGACTCCTCTCCAGCCGCTTCTGTCTGTCTATTCTCCCACTTCCTCTGTCCATATTTCCTTTCTCTGCCCATCTTTCATCATCACTCTTGCCCTCTTCCCACTCCTGACCCTAATTGCCAGTTGACAACCATCTGACCATCTGTGGCCTTTACTGACTGACTACCTCTCTTCTCTGTTCTGTGATCATTTCTAATATCCCTGGCTGCCTTCCCTCTGTCTGATGACCTCTCCACACACATTGCCCAGCTGTCCTCTCCTCCTGACCACTTTTCTGGCTTTTGACCATTTCTAACCATCTTTTACCATCTCTCCCAGATCTGACCACCCCCTGACCACTTCCTCTCTCTTTGTCCACCACTTGTCTTCTTGATTATCTCTAACCATCTTTCTTCTCTGGTCATTTTCAACTACTTCTGACCACCTCTTCTCTCTTTGGCCACCTTTGACCATCTCTTGGTGACCATGTCTAAAGCCCTCTTGCTAATCACTGCCACCCTGACCAACCTTCCCATTCTATCACCACTCCGGCCATTTTTAATCACCTCCCTGCCTTCTGACCAACTTTGTTAATTTCTGCTCCCTCTGTCCTCCCATGACACATCTGAGTCTTTGACCATCTTTTCCAGCTTTTTTAAAAAAAAATATATTTTATTGATTTTTTTACAGAGAAGAGGGGAGTGAGATAGAGAGCTAGAAATGTCGGTGAGAGAGAAACATCGACCAGCTGCCTCTTGCCCATCCCCTACCAGGGATGTGCCCGCAACCAATGTACATGCCCTTGACCGGAATCAAACCTGGGACCTTTCAGTCCGCAGACTGACGCTCTACCACTGAGCCAAACTGGTTTCGGCTTTTTCAGCTTTTTGATATGTCTGACCCTTCCTCTAACCATCATTAACCAACTCTTCTGCTCTTAGCTCATTGTTACCTTTTTTCCTGGTCTTGGACCATCCCAACACCCTCTGGTAGCCCTCTTCTGACCTCAGCCTGCCCTAATGCCTCCCTTCTTCCCTGCAGGCAACCCTGCCCGAGATGGCCATCCTCCCGCTGTTCCTTTGCCTGCTGCCGCTGGCCCCTGCCTCATCTCCACCCCAGCTAGCGACATCCAGCCTGTGTCCCCGTCGCTGCCGCTGCCAGACACAGTCACTGCCCCTAAGTGTGCTGTGCCCAGGGGCAGGCCTCCTGTTTGTACCACCCTCGCTGGACCGCAGGGCAGCCGAGTTGCGCCTAGCGGACAACTTCATCGCGGCTGTGCGCCGCCGTGATCTGGCCAACATGACGGGCCTGCTGCATCTGAGCTTGTCACGTAATACCATCCGCCATGTGGCAGCCGGTGCCTTTGCTGACCTTCGCGCCCTGCGTGCCCTGCATCTAGATGGTAACCGGCTGACCTCACTGGGTGAGGGTCAATTGCGTGGCCTGGTCAATTTGCGCCATCTCATCCTGAGCAACAACCAGCTGGCAGCCCTGGCAGCTGGTGCCCTGGACGACTGTGCCGAGACACTTGAAGACCTCGACCTCTCCTACAACAACCTGGAACAGCTTCCCTGGGAGGCTTTGGGCCGCCTGGGCAACGTCAATACACTGGGCCTCGACCACAACCTGCTGGCTTCTGTGCCTGCTGGCGCCTTTTCCCGCCTGCACAAGCTGGCACGGCTGGATATGACCTCCAACCGCCTGACCACCATCCCGCCTGACCCACTCTTCTCCCGCCTGCCACTGCTAGCCAGGCCCCGGGGGTCCCCTGCCTCTGCCCTGGTGCTGGCCTTCGGTGGGAACCCCCTGCACTGCAACTGCGAGCTGGTGTGGCTGCGGCGGCTGGCGAGGGAGGATGACCTTGAAGCCTGCGCCTCCCCACCGGCTCTGGGTGGCCGCTACTTCTGGGCTGTGGGTGAGGAGGAGTTTGTGTGCGAGCCCCCTGTGGTAACTCACCGCTCACCACCCCTGGCAGTGCCTGCTGGTCGGCCGGCTGCCCTGCGCTGTCGGGCTGTGGGGGACCCCGAGCCCCATGTGCGCTGGGTATCACCCCAGGGCCGGCTGCTAGGCAACTCGAGCCGTGCTCGCGCCTTCCCGAATGGGACGCTGGAGCTGCTGATCACTGAGCCGAGTGATGGAGGCATCTTCACCTGCATTGCAGCCAACGCAGCTGGCGAGGCCACGGCTGCTGTTGAGTTAACTGTGGGTCCCCCACCACCCCCTCAGCTAGCCAACAGCACCAGCTGTGACCCCCCGCGGGACGGGGATCCTGATGTCCTCACCCCACCTTCTGCTGCCTCTGCCTCTGCCTCCGCCAAGGCAGCAGACACTGGGCCCCCTGCTGACCGTGGTGTCCAGGTGACAGAGCACGGGGCCACGGCTGCTCTCGTCCAGTGGCCAGACCAGCGGCCTGTCCCAGGCATTCGCATGTACCAGATCCAGTACAACAGCTCAGCCGACGACATCCTCGTGTACAGGTGCAGTGCCCAGGCAAGGGGCAGCTTGGGTGGGGGAGTGAAATGGAGGGAGGGTTAGAGATATGTCTACTGGTACCCAGGCTGCAACACAGCTGAGAAATGAGGCTGCAAACTTACAAAGGAAATCAGATAGCAAAGGTAAAAGAAATCAGGCAGAGAGAGTAAAAAGGAATCTGCAGCAGTGTTAAAAAGAAATAAGGCAGCAAAAGTAAATAATAACAAACATATAAAGGAAATTAGGCAGCAAAAGTAAAAAGTGACCAGGCCAAAAGAATAGAGTCGAAGGAGAAAGGCAAATTTGGGGAGATACAGGCAAATTTAAGTAGTAAAGGAAAAGAGAGACCAGGTATTTCCAGGTGACAGGGCTAAATACAAGATAGGCTGCAGGAAGAAAAAGAGATCAAGCAAGAAGGTGTAGTGATCGTGGGGAAAATGGAATCAGTCAGCCCTGCTGCAAAGGCTCTCAGACCAGGGGTTAAAGGAAAATGGGAAGGAAGTTAAACAAATTTCACTTTGGGTTTGTGCAGTGCGAATTGCTCCACATATTTGGAGTTCTTATATGCAACATCTCAATTTTTTATTTTCTAAACCAAATTAAATCTAGTTTAAGTTCCACCTGCTAGGCGAGCAGGAATGTTGGGGATTCCCTTCTCTCTTCTGTTGTTGCAAACATAAAACTTGGGGCTTAAATACTCCACGAGGTGGGCCAGCATAACTTCTGCCCCTGCGCTGGAGAGTACGTGGCACATCTGCTGAGGCCACATGTGTTTTGTAGTCTTGGCTCTGGCGTGGGTGCTTCTGACGCCTCTCACCCGGTCCAGCCTTGCATGGAGAGCTGTGGAAGGCTCCCTGTTCTCACTGCCAGGCTGAGCCAGTGGTGCAGTCCCACCTCCTGGCTGCGGAGAACTGGGCCTCCTAAGACTTGGGGTCTGCACCTTGTAACCTACCATGTGGGTCGTTTCCCTCCTCGGGGGCCCCAAGAGATAATCACTTGATCTCCTTTTCAGTCTTGGAAATCTAATAAGCTCATTCCACTCTCTTTCATAGGCAGTGTGCCCAGTAGATTCCATGGAGGGTCCACCTGAAAATCACACAAATTCTGTCCGCTGTGCCTGGCAGGGGATGGGACGAATGCTCTCCTAGATAGTCACCCTCTCAGAGACAATCGCAGAGTTTCCTGTAGCTCCCTCATTAAAGCAATTTAAGAATAAAACTGATCATAAAACAAGTTAAATCTCCAACAGGTGCTCTGCTACAAAAAGTAGTATAGTGGAATTGGGTGTTAGAGAAACTAAGCAACAGAGATAAAAGGAGTCAGTAGGCAGAGATGGAAAGAAATAAGGCAACAGAGAAAAAAATCAGCAGTGGTGACTGAGGCACATCAGTTTAATGAAAATGGTATCAGATGACAGGACTCACTGCAAAGCAGGTTATAGATATAATAAGGCAGTGGGACTAGGAAGGTGTTCATTCAAAGGTTAGAAGGAAATTGGCTCAGTGATATGGAGCAATCAGGTGGTTAGATGAGAAAGAATCTAACTGTACACTAGAGGCAAAGAGAAATAGGCTGGAGGGAATCAGAAGTTAGAGGGAGCCGAGACCGGTTTGGCTCAATGGATAGAGCGTCGGCTTGGGGACTGAAGGGTCCCGGGTTCGATTCTGGTCAAGGGCATGTACCTTGGTTGCAGGCACATCCCCAGTAGGGGGTGTGCAAAGGCAGCTGATCGATGACTCTCTCTCATCGATATTTCTAACTCTCTATCTCTCTCCATTCCTCTCTGTACAAAATCAATAAAATATATTAAAAAAAAAAAGCTAAAAAAGAAAAGAAAAAGAAGTTAGAGGGAAACTGAGAGGTAGAATAAGAGGGAAAGTGGATATGGGGTTAGAAGGAAATGGGAATTGGGCTAGAGGGAGGTCAGAGAAGGTGAGGATGCAATTGGGCGGTGAGCTAGAGATTGCTGGCTGTAGTCTAGAAGGAGCTCAGGTGGTAGGTTGGTGGGGAGTTGGGTGAAGGGACTCAGGCAGTGAGCTGGGGAGACTAGGTTGGGAGGACCAGAGTGAAAGCAAGTGGTGGAGTGGAGCAAAATTGAGCAGCAAAGTTAGAGAGAACTGCAATTGCAGGCTGGTGGGAAATTGGGCTGGCAGTGCAGGATGGGAATCAGGCAGCTGGGGATAAAGTGAAACAGGACTGGGAGAACTCAAGCAGTGGGCCACAGAGAAATTGGGCAGTGGGCTAGAGTGGAATTAGGCAGCAGAGCAGAGGGGAAGGGGTCAATGGCACTGGAGGGAATTTGAGCTTGTGGGGATCGGGGATCAAACTGGGGAATGTGAGAGGAATGTGACAGTAAAGTTAGATGGTGGGCTGAGGTAAAATTGGCTAACAGACTGGAGGCATATCAGTCAGGCCACTGACTGGGTATCAGACTAAAGGAATTCCAGCAGTGGTTAAGGGAATTCAGAGGTTAGAGTGAATGCAGCAGCTGGACTGGGGAGAAATGCTCTAGACTGGAGGGCAGGGCTGGAGTGCAGGGGGGGTGCTGGTAGCTGGAGGGCAGGGCTGGAGTGCAGGGGGGGTGCTGGTAGCTGGAGGGCAGGGCTGGAGTGCAGGGGGGGTGCTGGTAGCTGGAGACTTGACCCCTGCCTGCCTGTCCCTCCAGGATGATCTCAGCCGACAGCCGGTCCTTCCTGTTGACAGACCTGGCAACGGGCCGCACCTACGATCTTTGCGTGCTAGCGGTGTACGAGGACAGCACCACGGGGCTGACGGCCACACGGCCTGTTGGCTGCGCTCGCTTCTCCACAGAGCCCACACTGCAGCCCTGCGGGGTCCCGCACGCACCCTTCCTGGGCGGCACCATGATCATCGCACTGGGTGGTGTCATCGTGGCCTCAGTGTTGGTCTTCATCTTCGTTCTGCTCATGCGCTACAAGGTGCACGGTGGCCAGCCCCCCGGCAAGGCCAAGGCACCCGCACCCGTCAGCAGCGTTTGCTCCCAGACCAACGGCACCACACAGGCCCCGTCTGCTCCCGAGCCCTCCGCACCGAGGGCCCACACCATGGTCCAGCTGGACTGTGAGCCCTGGGGGCCCAGTCACGAACCCACAGGACCCTAACCTGTGCCCACCAAGGGGTGGCAGGACCTAAGCACCCTGTGGGACCTGGCCTCAGACTCGCCAAATTGTTCACGGTTTTTAAAACTAATGGGAGGGTGTCAGGGGCACTGAGGGGCACAACAAGAAAGTCCTATTTTTCTAAGCTTGGGCCTGGGCCCTTGCCCTTGTCTCTGTCTGTGGGAGTTGGGATTACCATGCAAGGTCTGGAGCTGGGGATGCCTCTTCTGGGGAGAGATCCATCTAGTTCTGTCCAAGGTCCCTGGATGTGGCTGAGGACCCATTCCATAAGCGTCGTCTGTGAGCATGCCCTGTGATGGGTGATGCTATGGTGCCTCTGACAGCCCCAGCTATGCCTTCAGGGAAGGTCATGAGGGAATCCTGGGAGACTGTGGGAGCCCAGAAAAGGTGCCTGACTCAGCCTAGGAAGGGCTTCCGGGAAGAGACATGGGACCTGAGAATTATCTCTGGAGGAAGGGTGTTCCAGGCAGAGGGCACAGTACAACTAAGGACTTCGTAAGTGCCAGACATTGGGGTACTGTGATAGAGGAGAGGTAGAAAGGGTGAGCAGGGTCCAAGCTTTCCAGGTGGCCAGATAGTATTGGGAAGCCATGGGAGGCTTAATGCAGAGGAGGACAGCATCAGGTTTGGGCTGTAGGAATATCCTACATGGGGAAGGTGGACCAGAGGGGAAGACTGAAGTAAGGAGCCCAGATGGAAGCCAGGGTAAGGACTGGTGTAAGTAAGGACAAGACTGGACCAGGGCAGGAGGGCTGGGAAAGCAGTTAGGGTTGGATGAGAATGACATTTAGGAGGCTGAAGTGGCTGAGTTATGGAGCTGAAGAACCATGGGGGAGGGAAGTGTCCAGGATGAAGCCCAGGGCCCTGGCCAGGGAGGGGACAGCAGAGCTGCTATGATACTGGACCAGGGAGAAGGGGCAGATTTGGGGAAGATACCAAAGCCATTGTGGGACTTGGTGGATATGGACTACCCAGAGAGCATCCAGAGGGTGATAGTCAGGGGTCCTCGGCCTCTGGGAGTTTTCATGGCTAAGGGACAAAGAAAAGCCTAGACTAAAAAAGACTAAATGAGCAGCAGGTGGCAGGACATAGTGAAGCAAACTGGGCAAGTCAGATCCAAGTTATTCTTGTGTTTAATGATATCAAGACTGCTGTGAGAGTAGTGTTAGGGGTTTAGTTGGACAGATGCCAGACTCCACTGATTTGAAAGTAGGAGGTAAGAAAGTAGAGAGGGCGTGTAGACCTGCCATTCTGTGAGCCTAGAGCCTGGTTCAGGTTGATCTGGACCTTTCTGCATCTCTCTCCAGCGCTGGTCCTCACTGTCTTGAACTGCCCTAGGCTCCCCTCATATACCAAGAGGTTCGGAGGACCAAACCCTGGCCTTGGAAATATCAGGCCTCATAGGAGATCCAGGAATGGGATTAGCAGTAAGAGGAATAGTGCTCCTTGATCTCAGGCTACCTCTAGTGGTGGGTCCAGAGGCAGAGATGTGGAGAGAACTTGGGTCCTATCAGTATTCTCGGGAGTGATGCTGATGTGAGGAGCAGGGTGAAGTGGGCCCAAGACCCGACTGACCGTTCTCATGTTGTAGGGCACCACAGCTTTGTCGATGGGTATGGGCCTTGGAAATGGCCTTCCTTGGCCGTGGAATACCTGAATCCCAGGGATCTGGCCTGACTCCCAAGTCCTCCAGCAGCATCATTAGGTCCTTCCTCTTGTTATCCTCGGGAGGGCTGAGGTCAGGAGCAGCCATCAGGGACAGTGAGATATCTTGAGAAAAAGGCCTACGGAGTAGCAGGTTTGGATACGTAGAGCCAGTTGCTGCCATGAGGGGGAGCCAGAGTGCACTGTTCCTCAACCCTGTTTTTAAGTTATTGTGTGCCTACTTGTGCCACATGCTGGGGATTCAATAATGAGCAGATACAGGCCTGTCCTGCCCTCATTTACCTCACCATTTGATGGGGAAACAAATGTTAAGTAATCACAAAAGCAGGTGTAAGCATCAGTGATGACAAGTGGGGCCATGCAGGAGAGATCCATGCAACTGCGAGACCTGACCCAGGAAGGGAGGTTGAGGGAGGCTTCCTGGAAGAAGTGATGCCTCAGCTGATCTGGTTGGAGCTAACTACACAACGGGTGGAAAGGGCATTCCAAGCTAATGGAACAGCAGGTACAGAAGTCCGGGAACTGAGGGACGCATGGTGAGTGAAAGGGACTGAAAGAGGCCCTGTGCTGGAGTATGGTGGAGAGAAGGAAGTGATGCAGTGTTGAGACAAAAGAGTAAGAAGGGGACAGATGATGCAGGCTACTGGGAGAGTCTGGATTTTATTCTAAGTGGCATGAGAAGCCATTGGAGGGTTTTGAGCAGTGAGGAGAGTTGTCCTTTTTAATCCTAAAGAAACTCCAGTGACAGGTCTGTTTGCATGTGGGAACTAAAGTAAAACAGGGAGACCAGGGAGGAGGCTAGTGTAATGGTCCAAGCAGAATGTGTGGGGGCTGAGTGGATGGATTGGAGAGAGAGTTGAGACTACTTCCCCAGAAGTCTCCATCCTCTATGCAAATGAGGATAGTCTGGATTACTGCCCTGCTACCTTTTCAGGCAAGATTGCTGAGACTGGGAAAGAAAGATCCATTCCTTAGATGGGGGAGCAGACCTCTCTGTAGAATAGAAATTAATGACCCTTTCCATGTTCAAGTACCAGGCAAACAGTAGATCGAGGCTCTGCAAGGCAGAGGCTGTGGCTGGTTGTGGGGGATGTGAACACAGGAAATGTGGGCCCAAAAGGGGGACACACCTGGTGTTAACTTATTACATGACTGGAAGCAGGAAGGAGGGAAGGAGGTATATAGGATAGGCTGGTCCTTCCAGCCTGCCCCCCCTCCCTCGCCAGGCGCCCCCACAGGATGCCTGGATCATCTCTCACTCCCATGCAGAGACAATACAAGTGGACATGTATCTAGAATTTAAAGTTAAAACATAGCTTGTCCAACACTGCCTAGCTAAGTCCACCAATTTCCTGAGCTCAGGGAGTGCTACTCCTTCACTGCCCAGCCCCATGTGGCTTTGAAAATGCCTGCACATTTTTGAGACCAGCTTTCTTGGTGCCAGAGTGCCACAATACTGGAAGCATTTTCTTAAAGTGACTAGTTCTGATACCAGGACTCTGTGTGCTGCCCAATCCAACCCATGTGTTGGGGTGTGGCTAATCCAACACAGGTGGAGTGTCTGGGCATACTTGTGACCTCTGGCAAGGCCTCAGCTCATGCCAAGTTTTTGCAGCTCTTTACATGGACACATATGTGGGAGAATCAGAAAAAGGGGTCATCTCTTCTGGATTGAACCTGAGCATGGCTCCTGCTTTTAATTCCTTTCTGGTGCCTGTGCTGTTTTATGCCACACAAAAGCGAGAATAGGTATCAATGCTCAGTGTTGCCCTGACCTGTGTAGAATGGTGCTGAGAATGATATAACAGTGACTGACACACCCTCAGACCATGTCCTCACAGTTCCAGTCCAGTGGAGGAAATAGATATGAAAAAATGACAGCCCAGAAAGGCCAGGGCTGGGATGGGGAAAGCACAGGTGAGAGTGATTAGGGCCTGTTTAAGCTCAGGGAACTTTGGAAGTCCGGATGGGCTCCTAACAGCCTGGGATGGGAGTTGGGGAGAGTCCCAAGATTTCCTGAAGGCAGGGCCGGCTTCCTAGCAGTATGATCTGTGCAAAGCTCCACTTTTAGAAGGGCCTTGTGCTTGGTTGAATGACCTGCTATCACCACTGTGAACTTCTTCATGGTTTTTGATAAGGTACTCCACATTTTCATTTTGCACTGGGTCTTGCACACTTGCAGGATATACAAAGAGGGCCAGGAGAAGAAAGGGATATGCACAGAAAGCCAAGGAGAGAGAACATTGTGTGCAAAAGACAAGAAAGGAGGATAGAGAATTGTGTACTTGAAGAGCTGGCCAAAGTTCTGTGTAGCAAAGCATGGGGGAAAGGAAATGGTGACAGCTAAGCTCACAAAGTGGGCAGTCGCCAGCTGCCAGGCTGAGGGGCAGTGACTATACCAAGGACACTGGGAGTCATGGCGAGGGACGGTGTCAGGTTCAGACTTTAGAAAGATCCATCTGGCTACAGTGGGGAGAGTGGCTGAGGACACATAGCAAAGAACAAGTTTGGAGTGGGGGGCTCAGTTACCTGTGGAGGGGGTTGGGAATGTCTGGCTCCTGTGGACAGCTTTATGAAGAGCCTTGAATGCTTGAATGACAAACACCCCAAGGTACCTGGACACTGTCTGGGGAGACCACAAAACCACAGGATGAACTGACAGCTTCCTTTTCACTTGAAGGTTTTCACTGTTGAGGCTGGGAGGAGGGTACACAAGGGTAAGTTAAAGGATATCACTGGTAAGCACTTGAAAATCTTTTTATATGAGTACTCATGGATTGATTAATTGAGGTGAATGCAAACTTGGCAAGAAGAGTATAAAAGTGAGACTTCAAATAACTTATTCTGGGTACATTCTGGCTTCGACTCGTGGAACTCCTAGGGTGTACTTCCCTCTTCCCAGTCCTCTGGGAAAAATATCGTTCTCTGGGAACCTCCTCCTCATCCACAGTCCTAAATGCTGTGGCCCAGGACTAGAAACTGACTCCCTTCCTGCTTCTCCACTCACTTCTTCCTGGAGCATCACTCCTTCCCCACGTGCCTCACCGCCTTGACTTTCCTTCTCTGCTGATGACCTCTACCATCTCTGTCCCAAGAACTGGGCCCTCTCCTAACCCCTTAGGTATCTCACACCCCCGGGACCTACGCTGGCCTTAGCTTTTCCCCAAGCTGAAAAGCCTGGGGAGGATCTTAAGCAGAGAGAAAGGAAGCTATTGTAAGAAAGTCAGTTTCTTCTTGAATTCTCTGCTACTCCCCCTCCCAAAGGAAAGGGTTCTGTGGGAAAAGGGGAACTAGAGGGTACAGGCTTCTAGGTCCTA